GAGGGTGAGGATTCAGACTTGTGCGCGGTATCAGGGTTCCATCTTGTGAGTCTACAAACCATGACATATCTGTGATATTTCAGCAACTCACAATTTGTCACAAAGTTTAGCCATGTGTGATGCGTTTAGACGACAATCACGGTGTTCCTGCCCAGGCTGTGCAAGCGACTCCATGTCATCTTGCTATCAGATTGGAGAACATGAAGATTATTGTTCGTTTCTCATACATTTAGTTAGTTGTGATATGAGAAAACTTTGAAGTGGCGTCCCAAAAGATAGTGTTTCAAGTCATCCAATGTTATATGCACAACATAAAGTTCGCGCATATATGTGGAAGTAGCTATCTTTTCGTCGTGCATGCGTTTGCTGTAGTGCTATTCCAATGGACGCAAGTCATCGCCATCATCTTGTAGCAACACTTCGCCAATGAAGTACTCGCTCACATCTGTATTGACTGCGAATGTAAGTTTGGGATCTGCAATGTGGGGCACAAGGTGACTCGCCAAAGCCTCTCTCAAGGTTTGAAGTGTTGTCTCACATGCTTCATCGCATGTATGAGATATGTTATTGCTTATCAGTCTAGACAATGGGCGAGAGATGATAAAAAAATATGAGCACAAAGTTATGATAATATGAAGCAAAGCCAACAAAAGAAAGCAATTCACATATATTTGTTGTCTGAGGTCGGTTGTGTATGTCCTCAACCTTGGTTGTGTCAGGCTCAAGGCCTGCAACAGACAAACGGTGCCAAGATGGATGATGCTGTCCCCCCCAAACTCGGACTTCTCCGAGTAAAGATGAAGCTGCATTTTTTGAGAACCCCCAAACTCGGACTTCTCCAAGTAAAGATGATGCTGCATTGTTTGAGAATTTTGAACACCTCAAGATGTCTCAAGTGTTCCTCCATCAATTTAGTGAAAATCAAAATGTTATCAAGGTAGACAACCACAAACCGACCGATCTGTTCCCGGGGTACCTTGTGCATGAGACTTTGAAAGGTGGAAGGTGCATTCCTGAGACTGAAGGGCATAACGGTGAATTCGTATAGCCCATCGCGAGTCTTGAATACAATCTTGTGCTGATCCGCAGGGTTGACCTCAATCTGATGGTAACCAGACTTGAGATCGATCATGGAGAAACCTTGCACCCACCTGCAACATCAAGTAGGTCGTCGATGTGTGGCAATGAATCTGCATTATTTCTTGTGATGCGGTTTAGACCGCGGTAATCAATACACATTCGGAGGTTGCCTTTTTTTTTTGGGACAAACAAACAAACAGGTGCACTAAATTCAAATGTGTTTGGCTTAATCCACCCTTCATCAATCACCTCATCCATTTGTCTCCGGTGCACACAACTCTTTGGAGGAACGGCGCCTTCAATTAACTTGATCATATGCTTGACCGATCGCATGGGGACTCACCGCGGTTCGGCCAAAACTTCTGGAAATCGGTTGAGCAGAATTTCGATGTTTGCTGTGATTTACGGGGTGGAGGATTGGAATAAAGGTCATGCAATCCGAGCCACGAATTAACAATCAAGGTCACCGAATTCGAAGTAGAATCATTTGGACTCCAAGTGGACAGAGGAGTAGAAGTAGAAATATTAGAAGTAAGCACATCGTGTAAAACAGAACTAGTACGGGATGTGAAAGTAGAAGGCACATAAGTAGGACGAACAAAGACAACATACAACTATTCATCTTCCTTGTGCTTGTGCCAGTTTTTGCAGAATCACATGACATTAAGAAAAAGGGAAACTTTTCGAGATACCCCTGCAATTTCGATTAATTTGCAGCATGCCCCTCTGACGGCCAACTTACCCTGTCGCCCCCCTCTGACATCGAATGATGTTTCCAGAAAACCCCTGATGTTGTTTGGGTCTGAAACATGTTTCACATGCCCCTACCGGTACCTCTCCCAAATTTTTAGTATGCCCCTACCGGATAACCGTTGAGAACCAACAGAAACATTTCCCATATGCCCCTACCGGTACCGAGCATCTTTCCAGTATGCCCATGTGGTTGTTGTTGACACTCTCGGCCTTTCCCCTAGCCCTGGGAGAGGATCTGTCTGCCCCTCTCTCTCTCTCTCTCTCTCTCTCTCTCTCTCTGGCGTGCGCGCGCGCGCGCGAGCGCACGCACACACACACACACACACACAGCCTGGACACAACCGCAAAATGAGAATGAATCCTCCCCGAGAGGGTGCAAGATTCATTCTCATTTTGCACAAAGGCAAAATCGATCCGCGCGGCCTCTGAATCTCTCTCTCTCTCTCTCTCTCTCTCTCTCTCTCTCTCTCTCTCTCTCTCTCTCTCTCTCTCTCTCTCTCTCACACACGCGCGCGCACACACACGCACACACACACACACACACACCCCTCTCTCTCTCTCTCATATCAACACCAACCAGCGAACGTGAAGAGACTGCTGCAGCATTTTCGGTGGCCTGCTGCAAGGGCGTCACAGAAAGACGCATGCCCCTTGTGAGGGTATTTCGAGGAGGCACCGACGAAACGCCATCCGCGATCCGGTAAGGGCATAGCGGGAAGTTGTGCCCCATGCTGACAGGGGCTTGCAGAAAACTTCAGAGGCCCCAGGGGCACAATAGGGTAAGTCGGCGTTCAGAGGGGCACGCAATAAATTAATGGAAATTTCAGGGGGCTCTCAAAAATTCTCCCTAAGAAAAATCATTCGGGATTTGCGTTTTTTATCCAAGAGGACAGAACATTCGTTCCCCTTAGCATCTCGTACCACGAACGGTGAGTCTGAGATTTTAATCATCCCAAGCCAAGAACCACATCAAAGGAACACTTGTTGAGGACGAAGAAGTTCAACGAGTATATGATGGTTTTGTCCTTGTCAAAGGTAACACACACACCTTTAACTGCATGCGTAGAAGAGTTAACATTTTTGTTGCCGACTTGGGTCCGGTGAGGGTGTGCAACTCAACTTGCTTCATCCAGAAGTCCACCTTGCATACCCCATGTAAAGAAATAAAGTTGGTAGTAGCCCCATAATCAACCAAGACATGAAGGTATCAGTGGTTAATGAGAAGCTTGAAGAAGATAAACTTTATTGTCCCTTGAGCACATTATGGTTTCATCTTAGCCAAATGTCCCTTGAGCACATTATGGTTTCATCTTAGCCAAATGCTCGAGGTGGTAGTGGAACTACCGCTTACAGGTCCAGCCTCTCTTGCTATACAATGTACCGATGACAACCCTATATCTGGTTCGGGCTTTCCGACAGTCTATAACAATCTTGGACTTTATGATTCGGTTTCAAGCAATGCAGGCAAATTCCCTTCTTAATCCAATCGCCTTCTTAATCCTAGTCTTCTGTTCTCTCACTGATCCGAAGATCCAAGCAAGGTTTGGTTGCAACATCCTCCGATTTGGTTGAGATTTTCGCTCCTTTGGGAAGTGGGACAAAATTATTCTCTGAGTTCCAGTTTAGTACCTTCACATTGGCAGGATTTCTAAAGGCATTATTTTTTTTTCTTCAATATTAATGTCAGACTTACGGGCTGAAGAGGAACAAGTTTTATCAACGTCTTGTTTTTGGTCGCCACCAAAAGGGAGGTCATCTCCATAGGCCTCCTCATCAGCCTCTAACAGGTCATGCACAACAAAACGATTGTTTCCTCGAAACCGCCTGTTACCTATAGGTTTTTTGTTGTCTGTTGTAGAAACAAGGTCTTGCACCTCGAGGCTGACTACATCCTGCATAAGGTAAAATCAATCCATTTACCCAATGAGATTTTTGCCTAGGCGATGTGTGTAAGTAGTGGAAACCGTACCTTTCACAACATCCAAACATAAGAGACTGTGCAATCATTTCCAACCCAGTTGTAGCAAAACGTTTGCTAACAAACAATTGCAGGTTGTACATGGAGCTTCATCACTTGCTGCACTTGAGATCATCAAGCCTTTTCTTGATTCTTGCAGCAGCATGTGGGTCCTTATATAGCTTAATCAAAACTTCTTCAAGCGTGGTCACAGGCATGACTTTAGCCAATGCTTAGTGTACCCGCTTGCATAGCTCAAACTTCTAGGAAACCTCATATGATGGTTCGACGTTTGTCTCCATGATAAAGGACTCGCTCATTACTTAAGGCCCCAACACTTCGAAGTAGGCTCTCCTGGAGTTCATCCATGACTCTACGTTTTCCTTACCGTCGTATGTAGATGGTATCTGTACCCCCGTTCTGTCCCCAGAGGAATTGCTATGGCCGGGACCATCAAATGATGTGTCTGAACTAAAGGTTGCAGTAGCTGCAGAAGTCCCTGCGCTATCACTTGTAACAGCAACAGCGGGGTCTGCACCTACTGCATGTCCCGATTGAATCACACTCAGAGAAGAAGAAGTAGAGGCATGGAGAGGAGCAATGACAAACTGGTTAGCAGCATTGGAGGTAGGAGGTAAAGGAAAAGAATGAGGAATATGGGCCTGATGCAAATTTGTCATCTGTCGTGTCTGATCACTATGCTCCTTGGCCATATCCACAATCTGCATCTATAGTTTACTTACCACAAATTTGTATGGACATTGAATCATGAACTCATAGAAGAAAAAGAAAGAAATTGAAACGATCAAAAAAGAGAAGGTAAAAGTCCTAGTCGGAACAGCATTACATTTGGATTAAAAGGCAACCAAATCAAAAAATAAAAGAAAAATAATTCAAACGAGAGTTCTGATCCAAAGACTCAGCCTGATCATATGGAATACGACATCCCCTCGAGCCCAGTCTGACCAGTTCGGTGACCGTACATCACATTCAAAGAATCAGTAACGACATGCAGCAATGGATAATTAAGTGGTGTATAAGGTGCAAGCCAAGCCACGAACTGTGACGTCTCAGTCGAGGTCCCCTCCACAACAAGTGCTCTAACCAAAGAATGCATCTCGGAATTCCAGACAAAAAGAAAATAATCTGATGTCTACAAATTTGGGCCTAAGGGGCCCTTCTTGCTCGGTCCCCGTCCCATTGGATACCCAGAAAAGTATGTCGTGACCGAGTCCCAACCAATGAGAGTCCCGCAATGACATACTTTTTGCCTCTACCGAACTGAAAAACGAACTCCAACCTCAAAGAGAACCTACGATCTACGTCCATTCAAAGACAAAAAGACAATGCACTGTAGAAACATATGGTGTCCAAAGCAAGATACCTCATCTCTTCATCCATTAGGTGAGAAAGCAGTTTGCATACTCATACACAAAGCAGTTTGCATACTCATACACACAATCAAAACGACAAATGAGTAGGAAAAGAAACCCGGAATAACCTGAACAAGACAATCAATACCATGTACACACGTACATGGGCATCTCATAGGTGCACGACACTTCCCTGAGTAGCCTTTTTTTTTTTTTTTTTGGAAGAATAGCCCCTGCGATATCCCTCTATCCTGGCGGTGGTAAGAGAACCGTCAGAATTGAGGCCTTATCTGTCGGGGTGATCTATCTATTGGTGGGGAGCGGCACCTGCTGGAAACCGGGTCCAGCGTCCCATTGATACATCTTGAAATACAGTAGCCTGAGTTTCGAGATAGAACTCACCCCCCTCTCATATGGTCCTCCTGACCCCTTCAATGCTACCCCTACACTACTGTCCTATGTACTAGGACGGTCTGACTCCAACACCAAAGTGCAAAACCGGTGTCCCCACCTATGTTGAAGATCGAAGTAGCAACTCGCAGTCCGTAGATGTAGAATGGCTGTCCCTCAAGCTGGCTTACTTGAGGGAGGCCCTAAAGTCGCCGAGTGTCTCCCTTCCAGGTGCAAGTGCCTCTCACTGTCGCCTCTCCCAAATTGTTGCATGAAGTCCTCTCGAAGTGTCTCGCCACTCCAAACTTACTCTCACACAACCTGGTCAGGTCCAAAGTCGACCCAACACGAGCTAACCAGGTGGGGGCAGCTTTCCTTAACCACGCTGCCCCACCTCCCTCAGCTTCCAGCCCAACCCTAAGTGGTAGCCCTCCAACTTAGGTTAGGGTTGGCCAGCAAGTAGAATCCGCTCCTATACCAATGTTATGATCCTGGCAAATTTCAAAGTTCAAATTCACGAGAAAGCACAATGCACAATGGCCGTCCAAGTGCAAAAAGAAATGAATGAACTTGAGAGGAGAGAGAGGGAAAGAAGAAGAAGATACACAGCAAAGACCAATGATAGTTCCCTTCTTCCTGCCAACCGAACTCCTACTTTTCTCCTGCCCTCTTATTCAAACACTAAATAATAATAATGATGATGATGATGATGAATGGCCGAACCAGAATCAATATCCGAATCCCTTTTCTACTGCAGGCACAACATGAGGTACACCATAGCCATGGCCACCCTTCTCCTTCCTCTTCATGGAGGCCAAGGCTATGGCGGACTACTAGGACCTTGCCCTGACGTGCAAAAGATGACTCAAAGCAGCTATGGCTGCTCCTGCTCAGGACTCTACCTCAAAGCTTCTTGATGTAGCTCTACCCCCAATGGGGCCTTCCGGATGCAGCGCCCACCAAAGTGATGAAGATGGCGTCCGCCATAGCCAGGTAAGTACCTCTGGCACTCCCCTTTCCGAGTCCTCTTCTTCCTCCTCCTCCAGCCCAAGCTCCTCTTCCACTCACAGCACTGCACACTAGCCCTGCGCTCCAGCAGCGTGACTTCCAAACTTGCAGGCTGCAAATGAGGAGCACTTCGATCCTCCTGGAGATACACCGGCCTACTTGCCTCTTGGGCGGTGATTCCAGGCCACGTGGCCTCCAAGCAACCGGTACCTCATGCGGGGTCGTGTGCCCGGGCACGTCGTATGCCTGGGCGTGTGCCTGGGCAGGTCTACACACAGGTTGCTCGAGAGGCGGCGCAGCGCTACACACACTGGCGCTATGCGGCCGGCAGGTTCCCAACCCTTCTCTGAATGTATGCAATTGATGCGGGGTTATCAATCATTCAGATTCCGACCGCGCCGAATGCCGGGATGCTATCATGATTTTGTACAACTCCGTGCCTCCTGCGTGATCCCCGGGCATGTTCTTTCCCACGTTCCACAGCTCCTCTCTTGTCAACGCCCTCAATCCCGTCGATTCGTACCCATCAACAGCGGTCTTGTAGCATTCTAGCGCCTGAGCTGCAGTTAATGAGCATCCGACGAAGAAGAAGGCGGCCAATCTTACATTGACACGTCGGCAACTGATTCCCAAGAGCAACGGATCGCTCAGGAACTCCTCTGGCACCCCCGTCTCTTCCACCACCTCCCTAATTATCCCATCGAACATCTCTCTCGCAATGTCTTCATTCCTTCGCTGTCTTTTTGTCAGCTTACTGCCCTCCTTCCTTCTGCTCTCCCCCGTCTTCTCCATCTCCTGCTCCTCCTCCTCCTGCTGCTGCTGCTTTACCTTTGTGCAACCCTCCTTTTCCTCGGGCTTGCCGCCCTTCTGTTCATCGTGGCCAGAGATCCCGACAACTGACGGCTCAGAATGACCCCCCGGGTACACGATGCGCCCCGGGAATTCTCCCACCCGTTCTCCTCGTGCCAGCACCAGCACTTTTTCGTCGCTTGTCTCGACGATCGCGGCATTGCCAATGTTAGCTGCCATGTGTCTGCATCGTAGCACGTGGTCCCGATCGGGATCCAGCCTCTCCGGTGCAGTGCAGAGGAAGGATCTCCACGCAGAACCAAGCTGTGTACCGACGAACGACCCGTAATCGGTCAAGCCTAAGCGAATGCACACTCTCCATGGAATGCCCTTCCTCTCCCTCCCTTTCCCACACCCCTCCACATTCCCCTTCCTCTCCTCCTTCCTTTCTAAAACGCTCGTCCCACCATAGCGGAACTTCAACGCGTTAAACAAGTAAGGTTGATTGCTCAGGACTTTGTTCCACGTCTGGTACACGCTGCTCTCCAGCGCCTCGTCTGGATGCGGCACCCGGTCGTAGGCATTGCTGAAATCAACGGTCACTTGATTGCGCCCCAGACCGCTCGGACAAATGAGTAACTGGTCGTACGCCGTGTCGGGCTCCTCGCATGCTACAGAACCCATTTTGTTACCGAACTAATTAATTAGCTCCTGCACAGAACAAAATCAGTTGGCCTCTCTCAATCAAGTACTGCGTACCACTCCTGCCAGCCCCGGAAAGCGAAATCCAATGATCACCCTCTTTTTCTTACCATTTGCAGATGACCACCCATCCATCAATGGAGGGCAGTCGTCCAACAGCTAAGCCGTGGCTCGCTTCTACTCGTCTAGCAACACGACTCGGTACACCAGTCTAGCATCACCTACAAGAGGAAACCTTCATAGCGATGCCGAACCATACCAGTCATTTGCCCTGCTGTTGGGCGGGATCTCTCTCTCTCTCTCTCTCTCTTTCTCTCTCTCTCTTCTCTTTTTTCTTGCTTTCTTTCTTTTTCGCTCTCCGCTCCCTCCGTGCGTTCATGCAGCTGCCCCCCTGCAGCCATCGCTTCACGTCCAAAAACTTGCCCCCTTGCTTCATCGACGGCGGTGAGTACGTTCGTTGTAGGGGGGGTTTTTTTTTTTATGTACATTCTTCTTCTTCTTCTTCTTATTATTATTATTATTATTATTATTATTTCTTCTTCTTATTTCTTCTTCTTCTTCTTTTTCTTATGTGTTGTTGGGAGAACCGACCCCCCGCAGCCATAGCTGCACATCGAAGAACCGACCCCCCTCCTCCTCCTGATGTTTCCTCCTCCTCTTCTTCTTGCTCTTTTCTTTGCCTCCTCCTCCTCTTTTCTCCTCCTCCTCCTCCTCCTACTTCTCTTCTTCTTCCTCCTCCTCCTCCTCCTCCTCCTCTTCCTCTTCTTCTTCTTCTTCTTCTTCTTCTTCTTCTTCTTCTTTCTCCTCCTCCTCATCCTCCTCCTTCCTCCTCCTCCTCCCCCTCTTTTCTCCTCCTCCTCCTCCTTCTTCTTGCTCTTTTCTACACCTACTCCTCTTTTCTCCTCCTCCTCCTCCTCCTCCTCTTCTTGCTCTCCTCTCCACGTCCTCCTCTTTTCTCCTCCTCCTCCTCCTCCTCCTCTTCCTCTTCTTCTTCTTCTTCCTCCCCCTCCTCTCGATTGTCCCCAACCCCCCCCCCCCCCCCCCCCCCCCCCCAAAAAAAATTGAAGTTTCAAAGTTTCTCAGTGGAAAATGACAGATCTCAATGAGCGCAGTACAATCCCGCTTTCAAAAAAAAAAAAAAAAACCTTTGAACATCAGTGATGTGCACAGATGTTCGCCATAGCTAGGGCAGTGACCAGGTGTTACATGCTGCGCCTGCACACGGGCCCCATTTGAGGGGCCCGACGGTTGCTGAGGGGCCCCCACGCCGCGTACCATCCAGCCCGCGCCCTGGAGGCCCACGGCGGCCCTCCAGGCCCTAGGCCGCACACTAGGTAGATAGGTTCTATTTTACTTGTGCTGTCTTGTTTTTGTCTGTTCAGGTGCCGTTTCGGACTGGCAGCCCCAAGGCCGGACCTTGGGACTGGGTACACCGGAGGCAGGCCCGAAACGAGGCCAGGCGCATTTTGGCGCCAAACCGGTAGGTGCAGGCGTCGTTTCGGTCCTGCAGGACCCGAGACGGCACCTTGGGCCAGGTGCACCAGAAGGTGGCCGATTTTAGGCCAGGCGCAGTTCTGCGCCATGCCGCATCAGCAGCAGGGTCTGGACATCCGGTAGGGACCCAGACCACCTGGGCTGTTTTCTGAGGCCAGTACCAGGTAGGCCCAGCCGCCCAGCGCTACAAATAGCTGGGCCACGGCTGGGCAAGGGACAGTTCGAGTAGCTCACTTCTGGGCGACACGCTGCTGGTTAGGAGAGCGCTATACTGCGCTAGGCTGCGGAGTAGAGAGGAGAGGGAGTGGTGGAGGCCATACCTGCAGTCGGCGAGCTTACCTGGCCCCATAGCTGGGCTCCCCGCGGTACCTGCACACGATGACGGACACAGTCAGTACGGTGGCAGCAACCTGCAGGTGAGATAGCGAGGAGGACATCTCTTCTCTCCCTCCTCCATCTCTCTCTCTCTCCCTCTCTCTCTCTCTTCTCCCCCCTTCCTCCTCTTTCTCATCTTCTTCTTCGAAGCTGAGAGTGTGAGAGGTCGTCACTAGGGATTCAGGCAGAGGTTAGGCTGGGCGCATTGCCCAGGATCTGATTCGACATTTCTGGGACAGACATTGATTGGACACTCGGCAAGGGACTATTTTTTGGGACTTCGCTATTGCGATCTTGGTCTACTCCCTCGCCTCCTTCCTCCTCGTCTCGTCCCTCCCCCATCTCTCATCCGTGGTATTTCCCCATGTATGTGTGTGAGGAAGGGACCTTACTTCCATGATTGCGGTCCCTTCTCTCTCTCTCTCATGTGTGATGTGTGATGGATGTCGGGTCAGTCCAGATCAGATCAGATGTTCTCTTTAAGTCTTCCGCTGTGCCATTTTGTGCCATCTTGTATGTATCCGGAATGTACATTGCTTGTTGATGCTGCGCTGACCTCGCATTGTCCATTTCAGTCCTTTTCATCACATAGCGGATACTTGGCTCCCCGCGCATTGTCCCACTGGACATGCGTCAGTTTTGGTATCGGAGCCACGCGTGTGAATCAGGATGAACCTGATCTGACGCGAGCGCGGGACAACCCAAGATCGATCGGGTAAGTTAGGATTGATTGATCGATTGACCCTGGGTTAATTGATTGATTGATTAACCCTGATTGATTGATTGATTAGGGCACACTAATTAGTCCTCAAAATCGCAGATTCCGACCTAACTGCCAAAATCGAAATTTTTTCTCCTCTTTGGATTTCGTTTTCCCGCTATTTTTTTTCTTGTGCTAAATCGCAATAGCAGAACCGAAATCCTGCACCTATCCGTTATTTCGAGAAATCCCGCGAATTTTTTTGAAATTCGTCATTTCGATTTTTTTTTTGTTTCTGAAATTCGAAATTTCGCGGCATAGAAGTCCGGTAATTCTTTTTGAAAAGTTTCAAATCTTCGATCATATTCCGTTACGAAAATTCCCGTTATCCCGAAATTTTTTCTGAAATTCGTTTTTTAATTTCGGAAACTATTCTGAAATTCGTTTTTCAATTTCGGAATTTTTTATGAAATTCGTCGTTCAATTTCGAAAATTTTTCTGAAATTCATTTTTCAATTCCGAAAATTTTTCTGAAATTCGTTTTCCAATTCCGAATTTTTTTTTCTGAAAATCATCTTCTTTTTTTTTCGAATTTTGGGAAACCCCCTGCATTCTGTTTTTCACGCAGTCTGGGGGAGTACGGACATTTTGACATTGCCCGTCAATCTGAGTTTCAAAAAGTATTTTCGGGAAATCTCTCTTGCAAGTGTTTGTTTTCAAACTACGCATACTCTCACCTAACATATTCCGAATTTTTTTTTATCTCGGAATTTTATGGACTTGCAGAAATTGGTATTTTCCCTACTGTTTCACAGTCCAGCTAGTCCCATCATCTCCATTTGATATTTTGATTCATTTGCAGTGTGAAATTCGAATTTTTTTTTTTCTTTCTTTTCTTCGAATTAACTGCTGAGGGGATACTTCAGGGGCCCACTGAACTTGCAAATTCGAAATTTTTCCTTCTTTTTTTTTTTTCGAAATCTTTGCAAAAAAATCCAATTTTTTTTTTATTAGTGGCTCCATATCTGGGCGACCCATTCGATTGCCCACTCCCCTTCTCTCCACCCCAACTCTTCATCCCTTCTCCGTCCTTCTCAACTGCCCATTCACCTGCAGTTGCAGACTGGGTAAGTCCTCACTTCGGCAGGCAACGTCAGGGACCTGCAGCGCATGACCATACTTACTCGCTCGCAGACAGCAGCGATGGACCAGAAAGCAGGTGAGTCTGACGAGGCCTATGAGGCACGGTTGGCGGCCATAGCCGAAAGCAAGCAACGGGTAGAAGCAGCGGCAGCAGCACAGAAGAAGAGAGAGGCAGAGGCAGAGCGACTGCGTCTTCTGGCTGAAGAACAGCGGCCGAAGCACACGGCAGCAGCAGCCAAGGCCGCTGATGAAGAACGCGTGCGGCGACGCGAAGTTATATTCAGGGAGGAAGGTGCATTACACGCACAGGCCAAGGACTGGCAGAGGGAGGCCGAGAGCGGCGAATCCGTCGACTACGGGAGCAGGGTATCTCATCTGGTCAACCGTGTCACTGACCTCCTTGCAACTTGTATCGCACAGCAGGAGGACATCCACTCCCTCGACCACACCAACAAGGTGTTACAGCAGTCGGTGGACCAGATGCTCAAGCGCATACAACAGCTGGAGCAGCAGGTCGCCACCGCCAACACCAGCGTCGGCCCCTCCTATCTCGTCAACCGCGTCAATGTCTTGGAGATAGACATGGGAACACTTAAGACTGGGGCACAGCAGCTGCAACAACAGGTTTCTGCAGCGGCCGGCCCTAGCGCAACGACACGCAAAACTATTGCCAAGTTCGATGGGCTCCCGATCTTCTGTGACGCATCGAAGACCGACCCCATCCAATGGTGGCGCCATTTTGAACTCAAGCTGGACATCCACCACGTCATCGACGCGAACCGGCATGCATATTTGTACTCCCGCTCGGGAGGCGCGTGTCAGGCATGGTTGGACAACATGCTGTCCGCACATGCATGTACAGTCACCGAGTTACACAAGTACATCACCTGGGCGGACCTCACGGCGGCATGGAAGAAGCGTTTCCAAGTAGAACCGCCCGAGCACCAGGCGATGGACAAGCTGATGACGTTTTCGCAGAACAGCATGCCAAGCGGAGACTGGATTTTTGAGTTCCAACGGTTGGCAAGCACGCCCAAGTTGCCGATGAACTTCGACGGCATCAAGCTTTACTTCATCAAGTCACCGAGAACCTCAACACAAGTGAGGAACTCTTCAACAAAGTCGCGCAGATCATCATGACAAATTTGGCAGCCCGGAATACGGGCCACTCGTCGACTGCCGGCCAGGGCGCGCATCAGCATCGGCCGAAAGTGGCCGTGGTCGCAGCGGCAACGCCTAGCGACCCTTTAATTCTAAACGAGGCTGTTTCGTCTGACGAGGGAGACAGACTCGCAGCTGCCCAGAATGGTGGCCGCCCCGCCAAAGGACGAGGACGCGGCAAGACGAAGACGAACACCACTACTTCTTCTGGGCCCGGGCAAGCAGCTCAAGAGCAAGGACCTTGGACAGCGTACGGGCTTACGGAGCGCGGGTACCGCGTCCGCACCAAGTACCGCTATTGCTTGTGGTGCAACAACTCAGCACATGAGACAGCGAGCTGTCCCACGAAGGCCAAGGGTACCGCCCAGTCGGGAAAGTGAGCACCGCCAAGAGTGATGCGACGGCACTCTCGACGCCTACGGAACCGGTTGCCGTACGAGTAACCTCCCTCGGTTCGGGGGCACATGCAGAAGTCGTAAGTCCTCCCATTCTTCATTGCTTCGAGGACTATGCTGCCCGGCTCGTACCTTCGCTGAATTTACGAGCCCAAGGACAGGATGTATGTGCGGTCTCTTCTCCGTTCGGAAGCAGCGACATTGATTCGTCTTCAAGTGGACCTTCACGGGATTCGGCGCGCGCGTTCAACATAGAGGACTTGGACCCGTTGACGCCCGAGGATTTTGCATGGCTTCCTCTCCCTTCCACCGGCTGCTTACCGAAGCTGCAATGCGCAGCTCTTAGCGCTCATCTCCATACATACCTAGCCTTCTATGCACCACCAACTTCGCCGACGGAGGACGAAGTCGCGGTGGGGGACATTCTTGCGTATGTGAGCAAGGTGGCCCGCGAGTTTCGCAAGCAGCGGTACGACGACAACAACGCACCGCTCCTTTATGTCCGCATCCAAATCGGGCAAGCACCCTGCAGCGCTTTGCTGGATAGCGGCGCGACTCGCAACTTCATTAGCCAGTCCTTCATGCAAAGGGTCGGCCTTTGACCACAAGTTCGAAGGAAGGCACACCCTATGTCGATCAAGTTGGCGGACGGAAGAACGCAACAACTCCTTGATCGCTACATCGAAGTCGTCCCGATTTATTTCGCACCTCATGCATGCGAACCGGTGACGTTTGACGTCTTGGACACGGACTTCGACATCCTTCTGGGCATGCCTTGGCTTGCAAGTGCGGATCACACGGTTTAACTTCCATTGGCGGACACTTACGGTTCGCGACACATTTGGCGCCGAAGTACCATGTACTACTATTCCTCTCCCGCACCCTTCGATCCGATGCCAAGTTGTAACAGCCAAATCTTTTCGGGCCACTTGCGCTTACGAGCGGACCGAAGAGATAGGCTTATGTTTTCTTCGAACCATCGCGCACGAGATCATTCTCGAGGCCGGTGCCGTGCTGCCAAGAGGTTGCATTTATCGCATGAGCGAGGAGGAACTTACAGTACTCCGCGCGCAGCTCAATGACTTGTTGGACAAAGGCTGGATCCGGCCTAACAGCTCACCCTATGGTGCGCCGGTTCTCTTCGTTCGAAAGAAGAACAAGGACCTTCGCCTATGCATCGATTATCGCAAGCTCAATGCTCAAACCGTCAAGAACGCGGGACCTCTTCCTCGTATTGACGACCTTCTGGAGCGCTTGGGCAGTGCGAATTTTTTTTCCAAACTAGACTTGAAGTCAGGATACCATCAGATCTCGATTCGGCCGCAAGATCGCTACAAGACCGCGTTCAAGACACCGTACTGGCTCTTCGAGTGGGTCGTCATGCCTTTTGGACTCACCAACACCCCGACAACTTTTCAAGCGACGATGACCAACGAGTTCCGTGCAATGCTGGACCGGTTCGTGCTGGTCTACTTGGACGACATCCTCGTCTATAGTCGGACCTTGGAGGAACATCTTGACCATCTTCGACGAGTGTTGGAGACACTCCGGCGCGCCAAGTTCAAAGCCAACCACGACAAGTGCGCATTCGTGCGCCAAGAGTTGGAATACTTGGGCCACTTCGTTACTCCACGAGGCATCAGTCCGTTGTCGGACAAGATTCAAGCCGTCCAAGATTGGCTGGAGCCGCGGAACGTCACGGATGTCCGATCATTCCTTGGCCTTGCCGGCTACTACCAACGTTTCATCAACGGGTACTCGAAGATCGCGGCTCACTTAACCAAGCTTCAATGCGAGAACCAGTCGTTTGACTTCGGGACGGATGCGCGGGAATCATTCTTGGCCCTCAAGGCCGCATTGCTCTCCGCGGAGGTATTGCGGATATACGACCTGCTATTGCCAACACGTGTCACTGCGGACGCGTCCGGCTATGGCATTGGTGCTGTCCTCGAACAACATGATGGCGTGGACTGGCACCCGATCGAATACTTCGGCAAGAAAGTGCCGGTCGTGCACTCCAGCGATGATGCACGCAAGAAGGAACTTCTCGCCTTCGTCCACGCACTCAAGAGGTGGCAACACTTCCTCCTTGGTCGACGCCAGTTCCGATGGGTAACGGACAACAATCCGTTGGTCTTCTACAAGTCTCAGGACACCGTCAACACCACCATCGCCCGTTGGATGGCCTTCATCGACCAATTCGACTTCTTTCCCGATCACATTCCGGGGAAGTCAAATTTCGCGGATGCCCTTTCACGGCGTCTGGACCACTGGACCGCAGTCTACTCAACCTTCGAGATCGAGGATGACTTGCAGGACAGCTTCATCCGCGGCTATCAAGCCGACCCGGAATTTCGCGACAAGTACGCAAACTGTTTCTCTCCCAATCCGGCGCCTTCGCACTATCAGATCCAAGAGGGATACTTGCTCGTTCACTCGCGGGGGAAGGATCTACTTTGTGTGCCGCAAGATTCACACTTGCGCAAGCAGCTTCTTGGCGAGTTCCACGACGCCCCCGCCACCGAACATTTTGGAGTCAATCGCACGATTGGCCGACTCCGCGAGCACTTTTGGCGGCCCTGTTTTCTCGACGACGTCACGCGCTATTGCGAGCCATGCGAGGTTTGCTGACATTGCAAATCACGCAATCATCGTCCGTACGGCGAACTGCAACCATTACCGATCCCCTTGCGCCGAAGGGAAGCGATTGCCATGGACATTACCGGGCCGTTCCCCAAGCACAAGACGGCCGTGGATGGGATTCTCACGGTGGTTGACCGACTCACCAAGTTTGCCATGTTTTTGCCTTGCCACTATCATGCCAAAGCACCGGAGTTGGCCGAGGTTCTCTACGCCGGTTGGATTCGAATCAAGGGTTACTCCAAGCAGATCGTCTGCGACCGCGACACTCGGTTCATGTCCGATTTTTGGTTGGCGCTCATCAATCGATGGGGCTCATCCCTCAAGCCGAGTTCGGCTCGCCACCCCCAAACTGATGGCCAAACGGAGAGGGCACATCAGACCGCACAGGTCCTCCTTCGAACTCTCATTCGTCCCGACCAGAAAGACTGGGTTGAGCGGCTGCCGGATGTCGAGTTGGCATACAACTCGCCCATCCATCCGGCTATCGGGATGTCGCCCTTTGAGTTCGAGCATGGCTCGCCAGTCAATTCTCCGTTGGACACAATCATCCCACGGGCAGCCGAGAGCGACGACCATCTTCTCTTCATTCGTCGGATGCAAGAGCTTCTTGTCAAAGGCACGCGAAGGCGGGGGCAAACCAAAAAAAAAGGGAGTTTTATTTGAACACGAAGGCGGGGGCAAACCACAAAAAAAGGCATTCGGTGGAATTTTGGCAGGTCTTTACATGAGGGAAGCAGGTAACGATGATCAAAATAAGAATGCAGTACCCACTTCCTGATTGTGATGTGTAAAGACCTGCCTCCTAAGAAGACACGAAACAAAATGAAAGGAAACAAAAAAAACAAAACACACGACGTGGAGGCGCACTTAGTGCCAATGGACTGTGATAGTCCTCTGGATACCCCTGATCGGTATTAGCGGGGTCTATGACCAACACGGGTGTGAGTGTGAGCGCGAGTGGGTTGTGTGTGGTGTGTGGGAGAGTGTTGGCCATAGCCTCTGCTGCTACTCGATGAAGGGTGGGGGACGATGAGAAAGGGAGGCACAGCTACTGGCAGGTCTCGGTCTTTGTGTTAGCCAGACCCCCACTGGCGGCCCCAACCCTATACCCTAATCATTAGGGGCAAGGGGCAACATGAAATCTCCCCTTCACAGAGAGAGGAAAAACTATGCTTGCAGGGGTCCCCTCTAGATAGTCTTAGGAGTAGGTAGTGGAAGGTAAACAAACAGAAGTTGAGAGAAGAATATAGACAGTTGTGATCACCCCAATWAAWAARWAAAAAGACAGGAACCGGAGAGTTYGTTGACACTGAATTCCGTTCTCTCCTCATGTAAAGACCAGCCCAGCTCCGCGTCCGTCAATCAGGAAGTCTTATTTGAACACCAAGCAGGCGGCAAAGGAGAAAGCAGTCCGTAGACCCCATTCTCAAACCCGGGGGGGGGGGTATGAACAGGGTCCGGTCATCTGGTCACCAGACTCGTGACCGCACGTACGCAGCTGGGTGGCCAGGTTGCCTGAGCCACGTAGTTTTTGTTTTTTGGCTTGGGGGGGGGGGGGGGGGGGGGGGGGAGGCGGGGGGGTAGGCTGGAGATCGGGGGGAGGGGTCAAGGAAGGTAAGTAACAAACGCTCGAACTCCGAAACTGCTTGCTGGAGGCAGCACCCGCATATGTACTCGAGCAGACATGAAGCGTCTGATCTGAGCCAAAGGCGCAACGGGAAGGAGAGGCCTCTCTTATTTGACATTTAAGGCCGAAGGATGATTCATATATGAGAATTGACTCAACTCATTCTTGGTGAACTCGTAAATAAGAAATAACACACGCGGGTCAGACTCATACTCTCATGGCAATCCCTTTAATACTTTTGGCTTTTGGAAGTCTTTTTGTAGGATATTTGGCCAAAGATATGATGATTGGTTTAGGTACTCATTTCTGGGTTAATCCTATTTTCATACTACCAAAAAACGACATTATGTTTTCGTCAGAATTTGCCACTCAAAGAATGA